AAGACAGCTTGCAGGGGAACCTGCCCTGAGCTTGGGCAAACCCCGCTGGGAGGCCTGCCATGCCGTCGAGTGGCAGCTCCTGGCTTGGCAGCACCAGCTAAAATGCGTTCTGTGCTTTCGCTTGCCCCGTAGCTGAAAATGCAGGCTGGCATGCTGAAACTGCTAAAACCATGGCTCCACACTCAGGGATTCTCCCAAGGGATCAGGTACTGGGCTCCAGCTCCTCAACCCACGAAGCCCCTGCTACCTCCCGCCCAGTATCTGCAGCCAGAGGCCTTGCCCTGCGCCTCTGCGGCTGCGGGGCCGAAGGTCTCTGCCCCGGCCTCACACAGCACCTCAGCCTGGCGCCTGGCTGGGGCGTGAGGGGTCTCCCCGCAGCCTGGGAGGCCGTCGGGACCGCTGCAGGCACCCAGGGGTGTCGGGGCTGAAGGGGGCAGGCAGTGTTTCTTGGCCTCCCTCGCTGGTCCTGAACCTTGAACCTTTTCTTTTTTTCTCCTTAGGACACTGCTGAGAAGATCCGTTGGTAGGACCGGTCTGAAGGGTCCCAGTGCTCTAAGTCTTGCAGCTGGGAGGAGAGGGTACGGAGTTGGCGCTGCCCTCCTGCTGCTGTTGAGCTGTGAGCAGAGGAGGGGAGAGCATTTCCCAGGGTGAAATCCCGCTGCTTAGTGAACAATAAAGAGAGTTCCTTCCAGCTGGAGGGGTTGGCAATGTATTTATTTGCAGGACCTGGGAAAGGAAGATGGGTTAACAATCCCTCACACCATCTCACAGGTGGTTGTATAGGATGAAAGCAGTGTGTGAAGTATCACAGCATAAATAGTTGCCTGTATGGCCTCTCCTTTTTGCAGGGAAGCCCAGGTGGACCCTCCGTCCTGCCCCAAGCAGCATTTTGTCCACACTCATCAGGCTCATTTCTTCCTCAGCTGCTCGCTGACCTGCCCCCGTAGCCTGGCATTGCTCCCACTTTGTTCTCTTGGCCAAGGCCAGCGAGGTCTTGGGGCTTTCGGGAAAGAGAAGGCTCTTCTTCTGAAGGAAAAGCTGTCTTTGTGGCAGGTACAAGAGAAGCACCAACGGCGGGACCACTTCCCACACTAGTTTGTCTTCTCTCTTGCCCTCTCTCCCAACAGGTATCCCCCTTAGGAACCTACCCCAGCATGTTGGACCACCCAGCAGTGTCTCATGGAAGTGGGAGCAGACGAGGGATGCCCACCCCGGGCGCCTGTCCTGTGAACTGTTGGTATTGGCCTCTGTCCCAAGGGAAGAGGCAGCTGCCAGCTGTGGAGGGCAGCTCCTGCGAGATGCCAGAAGAAGGGCACCAAGAGCCCGAGCCTGAACAGAGACCTCTGAGATGGACATAAGGGATCTGGAAAGGCACCTTCTACGTATCTGTTATTAGTGTTCATTATTTCATGGCACACTGAGGAGCAGCAGCAGAGGACAGAAGAGGAGAAGTGTCTCTGCGCCGATTTCCAGGCTCACAGGGAACAGTTTTAGAGGGAGCGGGCTCAGGCATGGGAGGCACTTTCAGACTTCCCCCAAAAGAGCCATTGCCTCTGCCACAGGAGCTGGGAGCTCAGTAACCTTGGACAGTTGCATTCCTCGAGACAAGGTGCAGTCCTGCGTGTTCCCGTGTTCCTCAGAACATCGTACTACACCGTGCTCAAGAGACCCTGCTTTTTCTGTCTTACACCCTGGCAAAAAAGCAGGCTTTGAATTCATCTGTAAGGATATTGTCTGCCTGTTCTTCCATGAAATTAAAGTAAAAATGTGTTTTACTGCAGAATTTGTTCGCACCCTGAATTCGATGGCCACCTGCTGAGATGTCTCCTCAGCGTGAGTGTCTCACTCCGCCAGCACTGCCGTGCGTTTTTGGGAAAAGCCCTGAAAGGCCACTGGCAGTGACTTCTCCTTGTGGGTTTGACTCCTCTCCTGCTTGAGACGGCTGCGTCTTGCCCTTGCACAAAGCCAGGCAGTGTTACTACCCAGGTGGAGGCACTCTCTGTGCAGCTCCTGCTTCTAATAAAGAGGGGTTAACGCTGAGGACAGTGAGCTCTGCCAGAGGGCAGCTTTCTGCCTTAGCAGCCCAAAGGCTCACTGCCTTGGGTGGCAACACCATCCTTTCCTGGGAATGGTCTCACCTGGGGCTGTCTCTCCTGCAGAGGCCAGGGATGATGGGTTCAACCGTATCAGGCAGAAAAAACACCCATTCCCAGATGGCTTCTAGCGATGTCTTTGTGTTTTCCAAGTGAGTACGTTTGCTTCTGCAGCCCTTGGCTGCTGACCATGTCAGCAGCTTTCTCATCTTCTCTTGGGTCAGCCAGTTGTGCCAGGGCTTGCCCACTGGTTGGGAAGGAGCTGGAAAGAGACTTTTTCCAAAGACTAGATCTTGTTGTCTTCTTGTTTCCAGGATTGGGCTTTATGTAACACCTGGAAAAGCTGCTGAGGAAGGGCCTCTTCAGACTCCCAAGGGGCAGGTGGAAGAAAAAAAGGAGAAGCAAGGATGGAGGAAGAGCCTAACAGAGCAAGTAACGTGGGAGCTGGCTCCTGGAAGTGCCTGTGTGTGCAGGTTTTGCTTTATCTATTGATCTGTCTTTTATCTCAGCCCAGAGGTATTCTTACTTTTACCCTTCTGATTCTCTTCCCCATGCCACTGCCAGGGAGTAAGCAAGCTGTTGTATAGTACTCAGCTGCCTACAACCGTTAACCAAGAGCAGATGGCAACAGTGATCAGGGCTGAAGTCATAATTCTAGGAGAAGGCCACACACTCTGGGGGTCACTCCATGTCTGTCTGAGCTTGTTCAACACCCTGGAGTTCCTGGAGTCCAAGGAGAAATGGCTCAGACACTTACAGGGAGAAGGGTCCAGGTACGGAAGGCACTTTCTGACTTTCCCCAAAACAGCCGCTGCCTCCTCCAGGGGAGCTGAGGGTTGAAGGTACCCAGGTCCCAGGAGTATTGTTGCCTCCAAAGAACCAGGCAGGGGCTGCTGTCTCTCTGGCTGGCCTCTTCTCTACAAGAGACAGAGATCAGACAAATCCAGAGGATAAAAAGAGGCCCCTGCTGTGGCAAGGGCATGGCTTGATTCTCCCTCTCTTGGACTTGCTATCTGCCTAGCCAAGACGAGCTGGACCAGAACCTGTATTCCGAAGAATAAACCATGCTTCTGGAAGGCTCATTTCTGGAATAGTGAAGAATTAAGATTTTCAAGCTGCCTGTCAAAAAGCATCTTGTCTTTGGCTTCATTGGTGGAGGCATGAAGCCTTTCTTGCTGGCAGTGTTTGAAGAGGAAGACTGTCAGGTGACTGACATGAGACCGGCTGAGCACTGATGCTCCCAGGCTGTTCAGGAAAATTTCCTCTCTTTGTGGCTCCACTTATAATGCATTCTCTCTCTTCTCTCTCTTTTTTTTTTTTCATTCTTGCCTAATGTTTGAGAAGTCAAACTCAGAAGCTGAACACACAGAAAGGTCAAGCCTTTAATTGAGCAATGGGGAAGTGCATAGGAAAGAGACAAGGGAAGAAACTCAGAGAAGCTGTGCAGGCACCTTTCTCAAACTAAAAAAGTAATTGCCACCCTGTTACCTCCCTTCTCAAAAGCGAAGTTTTTTTCCAGAAGTCATGGAAAAAGCAAGGAAATATCAGTTTCAAGGTTTCTTGCTCAGGAAATGCAAGTATTTCTCAGTGTCTCTCCCTGAACCTGAAACTGGACAGCTTTCTCTTTCCTTCCTTAGTCTAGGTGAGAAGACCTACCTACGTGAGGAGCATGAAAGGTGCTGGCATTACAAGCACACAGACACTGGACAGATCACTGCTCATCAGCAAAGGGATGAGGTGCATTTCCTGGTGCTAAAAGCCACTTAAAGATACTAAATAAAGACTGTGATAACCAGCCTCGGCCTTGATGCGTGTGAGTGGTGAGAGCCAGGAAAGGAAGGAGCTGCAAGCAAGCCCCTCTGTTCTCTCCCAGTTACGGTCTGGAACACTGTCATCCCACCGGGGTGGTATTTGCCTGGGTTGCGACAGTTTTGCAGGGCTAGGGGAGGCCTCCCTGGGACTCTGTGACCTGGAGAGACCCCCAGGAAGGCCTCTGGCTGGTCAGCAGTGCCCAGCAGAAGATGCAGTGATGTCGTGGGGTGGCTGCGTGTGAGTTCGGGGGTGCCCTGGTCTCCAGCTTGGCTCCCCACTGCACATCCCTTGACTCTTGTTCCCTTGGAGAATGGCCTGGACTGCAGAGGGGAGGGAGTCTGTTGTCCCCATGGGGCTGAGGGAGGTTTTGGGGTTTGTTTCCAAGGGGTGGGGGGACACAGGACAGTGCCAGGCTGTGTGGCCCCATGCACCAGCTTGGGTTGGACGAGACTCCCCAGACATTGGAGACTTTCAAAGCAGGAAAGGGTAGCGCTGCCCAAGTGTGCAGCTCTCCCAGGGCAAGGCACACACTTCCCATCACATCCAGAGAGCCACGGGCAAAATGCGGCTGTCGTGTGTAAGGGATGATCACGCATGCAGCTGCCACCATGGAAGTGGGGCTCCGAGCTTCCTGTGGGCACTCCCACTAGGAATGGGACTCTCTGCTTCTGAGGTGGCCTGGGTAGCTTGTCCCAAGGCAGTTGAGCTGAGAGCCAGGCAGTATGGTAAGCAAGCAGCAATATGCAGTGCTGATTGACTGGGACAGGCTGCAGCCATAGCCTGTCTCTCTCCTTGGAGTACTGAGTGCCCAGCTTGGACTCTGTTTTATTCCATACTGATATACCCCCACAGAGAAAAAGCAGCAGCAAGTAAAAAACTACTTGGATTCATTTACTTTTATCATTCTGCAAGCCTGGAGGTGCATTTTTATCAGCAATGATACGAACTATGGGAACTGATGGTAAAAATGAGAAAACAGTTCTCACAAAACCTTATACATCTTGTGTTTGCATGGCTGCGGGAGGCCACCTGTAATCATCAATAACAAATGAATCATAATCAGGACTGTAAACGAGCCGTTTCACAAAGGCTTCCTTGTCTGCTGGCTCGGGGTACCAAGAAGCAAGACCATGCTTGTAGGCCCAGTCAACAATCTGCAGAAAGATAAGCAAAATGAGCTGATGAAACAACGTTGGCACGTTATGAAGTTGAAACCAACTGCAGTTTGGCCCTGGCTGTATTTCCCCTCTTTCCTCCCCTCAAAATTGTGTCCTTTTTTTTGCTTTTTTTCTCTTTGTGCAATTCCCTGAGTCAGCTGCACTTCATCCCTTGGGTGGGGGAAGGCAAGCTGCCTGCAATTACTGGCTGCTTAGAAATGCACACCCCTGCCCTGGCAAAATGGTTGGAGTGTGGAATTAAAGATGGAGAGCAGCCCTTTAACCACCTCCACTCACACCCTTAAGCTCCTCAGCTACACTGTGCATCCATCAGTAACTCTTAGCAGGCCAGTGTGGTTCTCAGTGGGTGTTCCCTGAACGGGAATTACAAATTTGATGTATGCAGGGCACCAATGCCACAATTGGACAACAAGCCCAGATCTGGAATAGTATTGAGGTACTTAGTCACCTACCAAATACAGGAGGAGAGGTTCCAAAATAGCAATTTGGAATCCAAAATCTTTTGGCAACTTCTGTTATGTTTGAATTCAATCCTAAACGTGATTTTTTGAAGTGTTGAGCGCTCACAGCTCCAAGCAATAATGCAGAGCTTTGTGAGCTGTGAGGCACCCAGCCTCAGAAGGTATTTTTCACATCTGGGCTTTAATGATGGGAGAAATCAAATCAGCAATTCTAGCTGGAAGGATTCCTGAGAATCATTGCTTTAGGCTATGTAGGATAAGTTGAATTAAAAAACCACAAAGCAAAAATAATGCCAGGGCAATTCCTGCCCTCCCTACCGCGGAAAGTGGAAATAAAAGTGGAAATACTCACTTTCACAGCGATTTTGAGAGACACCTCTCTGATGCTGTCCAAGGGGGGATAGAGTCTTCCTTCTGCAAGATTCTGCTCTGTCACCTCGGCAGCAATAGACTGGAAAGAAGAGAAAGGTATTTTATAGAGATGGTCTCAAGCACGCACCACATTCACTAGCATTACACGATATGTGGGCGAAACCTCAGCAGCAGCGGAGCTGGGAGTAGTTCTTAATGGGAACTGCTGAACTATTCAAAATACATGTGCGTATACATTTCATTACAGACTTAAAACTGGAGCCAGAATGGTGGAGTTCTGTGCCAGGGCAGCAGTTGTGGAGAAGAGGAGAACCCTGTCATGGCTGCTGCACCTCTGTAGGTGCAATGGAAGTGTGAGCCCTTCCGTGAGAGGGAGAAAGGATGCAGCTTTTTGCTGAGCCTGTGCCATTTCCACTCAAACCACTGCCCCAGGTCAGGTTCTTGAAAACACCTGAAGTAGATGCATGTGCCCCTTGTCATCTTTTAAAAAATATTAGTTAAATGCCAGTTGGAAACCTCTGCTGTGATGAGGAAGATATCATCAGAGATGTGCCGGACTCCACAGGCAATGACTCCCAGTGCCACTCCTGGGAAGACGTAGGCGTTGTTTCCTTGGCCAGGGAAGAACGTCTGTCCGCTGGGCAGGGTAACCTTTGAGAATGGACTCCCACTTGCAAATATTCCCCGGCCCTGATCAAAGAGAGAGAAAGAAGCATCCAAATTCAGAAGAGAAATCTTATGTTTCTGCTGCTTGCCATGATCTGTGCTCAGGGGACTCTGGTGACCAAGTGGACAAATCTCCAGCCAGTCAGAGAGAGATATCTCCACCAGAACCATCTCCAGGTGACAATTCTGGAGGGCCTGGTCCTCAGAGCCTCAAACAGGGCCATGGACAGGGCCACTGAGCCCTGAGTGGCTGTTTGCACTCCTCAATGGCAAGTGCTCTGGACTTGCTGAGAAGGAGTCTTATCTTCCTCTCTATATCAACCATCTATGGAGTGTGTGGATAAAAGTCTGGGGGCTGTGTGATTGCTCTAGGCAGCAGGTGGTGGGGAGGGCAAAGAGGAGAGTGAGACAAGGCCTCCTCTCTCACCCCAAGTCAATCCACATGAGAATAATTCTTTAGTGATGCTGGGTCCAAGTTGGGTGATGAAACTGTTACGTAAACAACTAGGTTGGCAAAACACAGGGGACAGTAACCTGGGAGGATGGGACATCTCAGCAGCTATGGGTGAAGAAGGCAAGCGCTTTCTTTAGAGGACCACAAAGTAATTCAGGCTGGTAGGGACCCAAACTCCCGCTCACAGCAAGTTCAGCTATGAAATCAGACCAGGTTGCTCAGGGTTTTATCCAGCCTGGTCTTGAAAATTTGCAAGGACAGAGACTGCACGAGCAATCTGGGCCCCTGTTCCCCCTCCTGACTCTCCTCATAGTGTGAAAGTTTTTCTTTCTGACCAGCTTGAACCTCTCTTATTTCAACTTATGCTCACTGTCACTTGTCTGCCCACCATGCACCACTGTGGTTTCCTTGGTACAGCCATGGCCACAGCATACCCGGAGCACGCAGCTTCCCTACGCTGAGCTCCAGTACCTCGGTGAGGCGGTAGCACTGCTCCGCTGTGCACTCCGCTTTACTTGTGGGGTTGCTCAGGGCAAACACGATGGGCCTCTCATTGAAGGCTGCCATGTCCTTCAAAATCTTCTCAGTGAAAGCTCCTGCAATGGCTGCAACACCTAAAACGACAACAGCAGAGTGAGACAGTGCTTTCTGACTGTCCGACTTCAGTGCATTGGGCTGATCCCTCTTGAACGCCTCTAATGGTAAATGAACTGTGGGAGGGAAAAGGCTCCATCTCTGGAGAGGCAAGTGGGAATGTTTCTTTCTCACATTATGGCAAGATTAAAAGCCTGTCTCAAAATAAAGTCCTCCTCTCCTCTGGGCAGAGTAGGGATCAGTGTTTAGGCCAGTCTGGATGCAGAACTTTGCCTCCCAAAGGCTCAGCACTTTGCTTCCCAAAGACCTGTTGTCATCCTTGTCCTGCCCAGCCTGCCAAGGCCATGTTTGTTGCCGAGAGCCCCAGATCCTGCCTCCCCGAGCACCTCCCTCTACAGCCCTGTCTGGGAGGGCTCCTACAGCTCCAAAAGAGAGGAAGCCTGTGCCCCAGGGTCGAAGGCAAAAGGATGTGGAGAACTAGACTGACAAAATGGGGGTAAAAAAAGCTCATTTCATTTTGACTGGGAGAACAAAGGGAGGCCTTGGAAGAAAGACAGAAACTCTCCTAAGAACTGAACTGACGTGAAAAGGTTGTGCTAAGGGAACTCCACCTATAATTGCTGTAGGCTTCACTTTCTGCACAACCTCTTCCAGTGTGTTCACACTGGGGTGGTCCTGGGCAAACACTTCTTTCTCATGGTTCAGGTGGCTCCTGCCCTGTGAGGAAAAAGGAGTCGTCAAACTTTGGTCTGTTGGCAAAAGGTGGAGACATAACGTAGTAATTCATCAGTTCAGTTCATCTCTTGGCCCTCTACTTAAACCAGATTCCACAGAGCAGGACCTCAGCATCAGCCAGTCATAATGTCACCTGGTGTAATGTCACCTGGGGCTGGTTTCTGCTCCTCTCACCCTCCAAAATACATTGATTGTGTGGAGGAAGGATCTGGCTGCCAGGGCAGAGAAGCTGTACATATAGCACGAGTCTCCTCAAGTCTGAGGAAGGACAAGGGCAGAGGCCCTGGAGACCCATGGAGTGCAGAGGAGAGCTGGGCCAGGCTGGGTCACCAAGCAGGGCACAACGTTGCTGTTGTAATACCCCATATGACATACAAGACTTCCAGCACCGCTTGAGACCATGGCTAGCAGTGTATCCTACCACGTTAGAGGCCTAACTCAAAGCGTTGCCTTTAGGGCAGCCAATGCTGCTGGTACACTGTTGTCACCATGAGACCTAGTCCTCTGAAACAGGAACAGCTCTGCTGACACCAATAAAACTGCAGCCCTTACTCCAGGGCTGAGCAGGGCTCCAAGGTATCTGCCTGCTCTGGCCTCTTTCTAACTTGCAGAGAGTGGTGGGGGAGTGGAGCTCAGCTCTGGAGACAAATTTACCTTCACAATCAGTCCCTTGGAGTCCACCATCCAAATTTTTTTGATGGCATCCTCTCGTGAAATTCCTTCCTTTTCCATAGCCATGAGGATGAGATGAGCTATGCCCATCGCAGCCTGGAACACAGTATATAAATACTTCATTGGGGTATCAGCATCTTTTTGTGGGGGGAAGATTTTAAATGAGAGATGTGTTGGGTCATCCCCTAGCACTGCACAAAGCAGGGAGGCTTTCTGCTCCGTGGCTGTACAATGCCATGGCATGGGGCTGATTTTAGCATTGTAGGTGCTGCCATAAATAAAGAAAACAAACAATCGTCCAGCAAAGCAGGCTGCCTGTGAGGCTGGAGCAGTGGAAGTGGTACCATAACAGGTAGAGGCTGTCTCGATCATTTAAACCAGCTGCTGCAGGGGAGGAAAAGGGGCAGGCACTGAACGAATATTGGTGACGATGCCAGTAGAGAGGAACTCAAAGCAAAGTGGGATTGCTGCCAAGACGAAAGTCCTCTTCTCCCATTCCTGCCCGAGGAAGCAGCCCTGGACACGCTGTGTGTGTTAGTGGTCCTACAGCTGTGCCTGGCTCTCCTGCCCAGATGGGGACTAACAAGGCAGGAGGGTCTCTGTGCCACAGAGATGGTGACCAGCACAGGACGGGTGGAGAAAGAGAACAAACAATCTTTGTTTCACAGAGGCATTGTGAGTACCAGACCCTCCCAAAGCCCCACGGGTGGGTGAGAGCCGAGCCAGGACCTGGACCAACACCTTTAGTCCACAAAAAGGACAGCTTTAGAGACTTTTTCTTCCCCCTCTTTCTTTGAGCAAGGCGCTATACAGACTACCTGAGTTCCGCCATGGGGGCAACATGACCGACTCCAAAAAGTGAGGTTACATTCTTACAGTTCTTTGAGTCTGAGTCCTTTTGACTCTACTGCTAAAGAGGCTTTGGTTTACCCTAAATACCAACCCTGAGGACTCAAACCAGCCTCCTTCATGTCCCTGCCTCATAAGGGACTTCCCTCAAGGTACTTAAAGCCTCACTTACACATAGGGAGCCTCGTAGCATCCAGGAAGTCTGCCCAGGACTCATGGGCCAAGAGGTCACTGAAAGATTGTTGGCAACTTCTACACAACAGCAAGGTCCACCTGTGGGGCCCACTCCTGCCCAATGACAAGGAACCTGCTTCGGTGCTTTTTTTTCCTGAAGCCAAGCCTTGCAGGAAGTTCCCTGGTTGACTTTTCCCTTTCTAAATTTGAATTTAGCCCATATTTAGGAACAAACTCAAGAACATTCCTACCTCTCCAGCTCCCTGGAAAACAAACTTATGGTCAGAGAGCTTGTTCTTTGTGATCCTTAAGGCTGCAAAGATGCCAGCGACTGCAACAGACGCAGTGCCTGAAAAGAGAGAAACACCATGAGATGGACATCCTGGCAAATGGATTGTCTACCCTACTGATATGAACACCAATTTCCCTCTATATAGAGTCAAATGTATACTGAATCTTAGAATGCCAGAAGTTAATATCTAACTCCCAAGGGCTTAAGATGCATGTGACTTGTCTAAGGTCACATAAGGTATCTGTAGCAGAGTGGTGGTCTGAACTTGGGCACCCTTACCACAAAATCCTCTGTGATCATGGAATTACCATCCTCTTTTCCTCATTTACCTTCACAACCCAGCACCACCTTCTCTTTTTTTGCTTCCCTAATACTCTGATACCCTCACTCAGAGCCGTAAGGAGTCATTAAGAACACAAGCTGGTCCCAGATTAGTGAGAAAGAATCCAGTACGTGGAGAGCAGAATCCAGCTGTTACAGCCAGTGCGATACGTACAGCTTTCCATCCAGGAAGAGAGGCAGCCGTCTAGACTGAATAAACCTGCCTTTCACCCCACATCAATCACATACAGTATTCATCTAATGTCCTATGCCAGGTGAAGGAATATGGTGGGAAGAAATCAAGTAAGGCACAGACTAACGAGGATTCAGGTACTGGTGGTACCTTGGGTCACCTGGGCAAGCTGCATACAAGTGTTAAAGGTGAGCTAGGACTGAAGGAGGCAGTTTTGTCACAGAATATCTCAAGTTGGAAGAGGCCCCTAAGGATCATTGAGTCCACTGGTTTTATTCCTCAGCGTTTTAAAGGATACTATTTCAGATGTGCCCCAGCTCTGATGCTGGTCTCTCCATTCTCATCTTCAGAAGCTTTGTGAGAAATCAGGGAGTCCATAAGTAACAACTCTTGTGTGGGTGGTCATGGGTAGGGCAGAAAATTAACCCTTTTAGGCTAATAAAACTGATTTCACCAAATTTCCAGCATTTTCTATTTTCCTGCCCATTTAATCAGTCAGTGCACCAGGGTTTCAATCAGGCAGTGCTTCAGTGAGGACCCTCCTGCAGGGTCCTTAGGGCTGCCAGGCATCAGCGAAGAGCTCGGCTGGGAAACAGAGCAGCTCCTGAGCAAAGCATGACCATGGCAGTGAAACCAGCAGATAGTGTTGCCCCAGCTGTCAAGGACTGAGAAAATAAATTCAGATTTTCTTTAGTGCGAAAGCCACAGCTGAACTAAAAATCTACTGGTATGTCATGGCATCAGGGAATGATTTAGTCTCTTCTTATTTCCACACAAGCAGAAAACCTAATGGGAGCACAGGCACTCTGGCAGAGAAGTAACTTTTATTGGCATGGCTTGTTTTGCTTAGGGAGCCTATATAAGCTACTCTGACAAAGAAAATCTTTATTGGCCAGACCAGAAGTGTTTATCAGTACCATTAGCTCACCAACATTTTGCATTTATAACTCAGAGGAGTTTAGTTCTCCAAAAATTAACAATTAGTGCCGCTTCAGAGTGATTCTGGTTTCGCAGAGGTGGCAGCGGCCACATTCCTGCAGCAAATGTTGGTGTCGATGCAGAGGCACACCAGTACAGAATGGCAGCAGCATCATTTCTTACTCATGAGGGCATTGCAAGCATCCACGTCTTAAACACAAAATGGACTAGAGTAAATGGTTGGTGATTTTGTAAGCTTCTTTCCTGCAATTAATCACTTGAGGCACTCGCTTCAGCATCAAGGATGAATTCCCTTCATTAGCTCAGAAAACAGTTTGTACCATTTTATTTCCAGACCCAGACCATCTGAGTTCAGTCAGTTTAAAAGGGAGTTGCTGGGGAGGGAAGCAGCCACTGAGTGCTCTGCTGCTTCAGTATTAACACGTCAAGTCAGACAACTGAAGGATGTATATGAAGGATTTCCTTTGCTTCTCCTGCACTAAATCTCTGCCTTTTTAAGCTGTATTTACAGTAATGTATTTACCTGGTAAAATGCCATGCCATCAGACTAGAAAAACGACAGAGGAAGATAATGAACATCCAAGGAATTTAAAGGAACACCAGATAATTGTCTAGTTTTTAGATTTTTGCTTTTTATGGATGTTACATAGCTAGCCCATACTCATTCTCTGTATTTCGGTGAGTCTATAATCAGCAGGACTGCCTGGCTTGCTGCCATGCCAGATGTTAAGGATGGGACTCCTCTAAACAAACGTATATGATCCTGCTCACGTTAAAGCAGACACCTGAACTGGGTCAAATGAAATTCACTCTAAAAGTGTCACTACCACCACAGTTTTTTAAGAGAGACAAGATAACTGGAATACATGTAGACACTTCTATTGCAGACATCTAAACTGTGGAGGAAGGGATCCCACCCCGGCAGTTTGAACTGCAAAGAAGTGGGGAGAGACCAGGGTCCTACAGTCGTCAGCGATGCCAAGCTTGTGACATGCAGGAGAATATGAACACCTACGCATAACGCTCACGCATGCTCACATGCCATCTCCCTGGCTTAGTTTGCACAGAAATCCCCAAATCCCTGTGTGGGTGGGAGTGGGGAACTGATTAGAGGAAAAAAAATCCCAAAGTGGAACAATTACAGTGCGATGGTGTAAGTGTCAGGTGACAGCACTCACAGCAATAGATGCCTGGAAAGTATTTAAAGAAAGAAATGGATACTGGAGAAGTATCTTGTTTCTCTTGGTCCTGACCCAGGCAAAATTGCTTTACACCCTATGATTGTCAAGAAGTCCGATGGGACAAACGCTGGTATCTGCAAACCCATTTAAATGGAAAATGCTTGTCGGACATTCAGCAGAGGGACTCAAAATCCTTTTAAGGATGTTACTAACAGGACTTTGAGGGGCGTACGGAAAGAAAGGGTGCACGGATTCAGTCTGCAGAGCAGCGTGCGCTTTGCAGAGCGGAGACCCGTGGGACTGGGTGTGCCGTTACTCATCCTCTGCACTTGCCCTGCAGCTTGGACCGACAGCACGACTCTGTTCAGCTCTGCCACTCCTAATCCTCCTCCTCTCTCTCCAATGTGTTTCTAATCCCTCCGCATCTCCCAAACTGCATCTCACCCCCATTACTCAAGGAACAAAGTTACTGTACCTTGGCTCAGTATTTTTCTTTGATAATTACGATTTCTGAGCATGGAACAATAGAGCATCTCTACGGAGGAGAGTTCACAGCTGGCTTGTGTAAAGAATTGGCTAATCATTGTGCTTCGATCCCCAAAAGACCACAAAAAACCCTTCCCCATGAGTTGTGGCAAGAAAAAAACAACCAGCCTTCAACACGCTGGTCTATCTGTTTTCCAAAGAGATTGAATGCTGCTATTGCAGATAACTACTTCCTTAAGTAGTTAGCAAGAGCCAGCTTGGCTGGTCTGTATCTGAGGTGAGATATGGAGGGGCACAGAGAGAAGAAAGGAAAATGCTTGCAAATTATCCCGTCTGCCCAAGACTCAAAGTGAACGCTCAATACAATATCACAAAATAGCAAGCAGACCTCAGGGGTCTCTCTGGGGAGTCCAGAACAACAGGACCAGCAAAGAAAACAGGCATTTAAAACTAAAGTATACTCAGGAAAATAGCTATCCCTGTAGCAATTAATCTCTGACACTCAGGCATGTTCAGATTATTGTAAAACATTAAGGAAAAGCCCTCTAAGGTGGCTGTTCCACTTGCACTGGTGTAAGTAAGAGCAAGCCCCAGTAGATGTCAGTGGAGCTACACTGGAGCAAAACCCAGGCGAAAGATCTGCTCCAGAGCTTCAAGAGGCTGCAGAGATGGAGAAGGGCTGCAGCCCAGAGGCACCCACACCAGGGGACCTTGTCCTGCCTTCAGAGCCGGGAGAGCGGACAGAGAGGCGAGCGGCTTGGCAGATGGAGTTATGGGCAACGTTGGCACCAGTGCAACAGGGAAAGGGCTGCCCAGTGCCGATGTTGAGGCCATACTGGGTGTGACAGCACCCAGTGACGAAGTGGGAGTTGTGGGGGGAAGCGAGGACCCTGTGGGTGCTTGGGGACAGGAGTCCCCCTCACCTCGTGCTGAGGGCTGGCACTGCCCTGTCACCTGGCCTGGGTGCTGGCTGACCCAAACAGAGCATCACCACCATGCTGAATCCTTGTGATAGCAGCAGTGATGGGAGCACGCAGCCATACCACTGCCTGTTTCTTCATACAGCACCCATGTGGGTGATTCCCCTTCTCCACAGCACACTGGTGGAAGAGGTAGCCAAATTCAGCCTGATCTTTTAGTTTTTACCCTTATCCCGCCTGCTATGCTTCACCCCATCAAAACCATGCCAAGATGAGGGCCCGGGGAACAGCGAACACCAGTTTAACAGCTCCAGCAAAAGTCAGCCAAGAAAATATATCTAAATTTATGGATGCAGAGGAAGCATAGGGCTTTTCCAAATCCTGGTTCACATTAACTCCCTGCAGTAGTTCTGCCTGTTACTGGAAAGCAGAGTGGAGCTTGTCCAGATCTGCTCTAAATACATACTCAAAAGTCAAACACAACAAAGCTGAAGCAAAAAGCTGCCAAAGCATTTGCAGCTCAAGGTCTTCACCTCCATGGCTGCGGGCTAGCGTTAGCCTTCCCCAAAGGGCCTCTGTAAGACATTAAGAAAATAAACCTAGAAATGGTGTGGATCAAGTCAACAAGAAGAGCAGTAAAGTACAAGGCATCGATGCTCAGGGAAGGAACTCGCTTTCTTCACTAACAGATTTAGGGACACTGGTGACCCAGAAGAGGTGGTGGTACGGTGAAGAGCTGTCTGACAGTGGAGATGCAGAGCTCATCTTAAAGGAGACGTCCAATGCAGGTCATCTCTAGGTGCCTGTTTTTAATCCTTCCACTGTAAAGTGCTTGGACTATAGAGTGCAGCGCCCTAAAAAAGATGTCGCAGCACTGGCCTGCAGCATTGCCCTCACTCCTGGCAGGCTGTGCCATCGGGCAGAGAGACCTCTCTCATCCACAAAGGCAGCTGCCAGCAGTTCACAAGAAAGCATCCCTCTCCCTATCGCAGCAGTGGAGACCCTTTAATATCAACA